TATGCATAATTATTATGTGAAATAGATGTTTCATTGTTATTTTTTCTGGGTTGTTTGGGTGATAATGGTGTTGTATGAGGTTTTTTATCAGTCATTGTTCAATGTAGGTTTATTTTTATCTTCACTATCTATTCCACAAATTATTCTTTATTTATCATCGTCATCTATTTTTGTCATTTTAGTTTTTTCAATATTACATTTTTCTAATAATTGAGCTAATTTTTCTATGTCATCTATTAGAACTTGTTGGCGTTTCTATTTGAATTTGTTTAAATAATTTTCTTCGTATTTTTTCTTTGTGAATTAAATCTCGTAATTCTTTTATTTTTTTCTAATTTTTGTAATATTTTTAATTGACTTTCCTTTATTATTTAATATTCCTATTTATTGTGAAACTATCTATTGATCAGTTTTTAATCATTTTTTAAGTTTATTTATAGCAATTAATGGTCTCCATTATGTAAAAACTATTAAGGGGTGAAACACGACTTTCCATAGAAAGCGATAAGCACGACTTTCAGATAGGATTTGCAGGCACAGATGCACTTTCTATATCGGGAAAGTAATTCACGATTAACGAGGTTTGTTTATTGTTGTACTACATGTACATTCATTTGTACGTTCCTTATGTACTGCCCACAATTTGTAGTTCCTAATATTCGACTTCCAAATTGAGTTTTTAACTTGATCCATTTAACAATATTAATGAGTCAAGTTCAAAATTAGCAAGCTAATCTATAAAAATTATATAAAAATCCATGTTATTTTAACCTTAATGAGATACGAGATTTTATCGAAATGAGACTTAGATGAGCTCGATTTTTACTCGTTTATCAGATAATTTAAATCGAATTCGAGTCTTAGCAAGTCAAGTCGAATGGAGCCACAAATATCTCGTTTCCTTTTAAGAGTCGTAGATGTTACATCAATTAAACTCTTATTTCTGTATTTATGTATTATTTAGTAACTAAATGTATCTAAAATATTGTGTTTTTTTGTTAAAAAAAAAAAAAACGGAAGTAGTTATTGGAAATTTTAGGGAGATTCTACGGTACTCGTTACGAAACTATTTGTCGAGTTTGTAATCGTTAGATCAACTAGCCACGACGTTTACATGATGATCTAATGGTTACAAATCCTGACAGAATAGTTCCGTAACGGGGCTGTAGCATTTTCTTAAAATTTTAATGTGTAATATTATTTTATTGGACTTTTCTTTAAAAAAAATGAGGAAAAACTCACAGAAGAAAAGTGACGGAAAGTCATACATTCCCGGTAAATAATGTATTCTTTAATCGTCACGCATGGTTTGCATATTCTTGTAGGGGTCCAAATAAATTTCAGAAAAAACTGATAAAATTACGAAATTGGCACTTTTTTCTCTCTTTTAATTTTCCCCAATTCCTCTCTTCTAAAACTCTCTCTCGTCCTCTCCAATTGTCGCCGCCCCTCCTACACCTTCAAGATCGCCGCCGCGCCGTTGGAATAGGAGCTCGTCGACTCGGGGCTGAGGATATTCCCATCTCCTCCGTGCTCTGTGGGAGATTAGGTTGGAGAGCTCTCGCCCCCGTTGGGTCCGAGTTGCTTCGCCACCTAGCTATCCCCGGCCATGGAGGAGACCGCCGACTGCAAGAGTTCAGGCCCAAGCCTCGAGGAGGTACCGACAATGTTTCTGCCGAGAGTTTTATTGTTCATGTTTTGGGTCCTTGGTGCGACTTGCCGTCCGTTCGATCCCTCTTTCGAGCACTCCGGCGAGGCGTATTGGTGCCCTCACGACGGCTTCCTCTCCTCCCCCAAGCATGGATGGTTTTTCGGAGTCAAGATCGGAATCGAGAGCAGTCTCTTCTTCAGATCCGTCTAGGCGGCACTAGCCGCAGTTTTCGGGCTTGAGGTTGCGGTTTGTGGTTTTGTTGGATCGCTATGCTAGTGGATGTGGATCGTGTGCGGTCCCGGGTGGTTAGGCATCGAGTCTGTTAGGTGTAGGGGAGGTTCTAGTTTATTTGTACATTAAGTGTGTGTTTTTTCTTTATGTTTTGTGTGTGTTAGTCCAGCTTGTCTGGTTTATCTTTTTTTATGGAGTTTTATTTCCCTTTGTGGAATTTCGTTTTGGGTTTGCGTTTGCCTCCTTGTTGAAGTTGTACCTCTTGGATTCTTCCGAAATTCCAAGAGAGTAGGTCCAGTTATCTGGTTCTTTGGTGTCAGTTGACATCGCCTCTGTACTCTTTTTGAGTTTTCTAGTAATATATTTGTTTTCCGTTTGAAAAAAAAAACAAATGAATTTTATATTTCACAAAATTAATCATTATAGAATTTTTAAGACTTTATAAATTCTGGATGTATTTAATTTTGATTTGTTAAGGCTTTTAAAAGTCTATGGTATTTATTTGAAAATTTAAAAGTCTTACAAAATTTTGAGGTATTGAGCTTATTTGAAACTTGAATTTGTTAAAAACTTTTTAAGAATTGTTGTGATTTCAAAAGAAAAAAAACCTTATCCGAGAAATCCCACCCAAAATCACGAATTTTAAAAGTCCTACAAATCTGGAGGTATTTAACTTATTTGAAACTTGAATTTGTTAACACTTCTTAAGATTTTTGTGATTTCAAAAGAAAAAACCTTACTCAAAATCCCGCCCAAAATCCTACTTGTAAGGGGGGTGTATTCAATTGAGAATATAAATGACATTTTAAGACTTTTCAAGATTCGAGACTTTTTAAGATTTTCATATTTAGGAAGAATTCTATGAAATCTTAAGTCTGGAGGTAGGATTTGAAGTGGAATTTCATATAAGGTTTTTTGTTTAGAAATCCCACCAAATCTTAAAATGTCTTAATAAATTCTAGTGTCAAATAAATTAAGTACCTCAAAATTTTGTAAGACTTTTGAAAATCCCTACTGAACACCACGGGATTGTTAAAAGTCTTAAAAAGTCTTAACAAATCTAAATTGAATACACCCGGATTTCTAAAGTTTTAAGAAGTCCTTAAAAATCCTAATTAAAGATACCCCTAAAGTTTCACGGGATTCCTCTAAAACCTAAGGAGTATTTAATTAGGATTTCAATTGACATTTTGACATTTTTTAAAGTTTGAAACTTGTAAGATTTTCAGATTTTGGAGGAATTATGTGAAGTTTTAAGTTTGAAGGTAGAATTTGAAGTGCGGTTTCGTATAAAGTTATTTCTTTAGAAATCCCACCAAATTAAGAATTCTTAACAAATCCAAATCTTAAGTTAAACACCACAAGATTTTGTAAGACTTTTTAAAATCTCATTTGATTATCCCAAGACTTCTAAAAGTTTTAAAAAGTCCTAACAAATTTAAATTGAATATACCAAGACTTCTAAAGTCTTATAAAGTTTTTAGAAATCCCAAATGAATACACTCCCCTACAATTTTGCTAAGTCTCAAATCTTAAAAAGTCTCAAAATGTCACTTAAAATCCTAAACGAATACACCCCTTAAGTTAACTAGATACTCATTGCTTAGAGGATGCTTGGATACAAGTTATCCCAAAATACGTTCAATTATTTATAATCAACTACTTTTTTTTAACTCAAATCTAACTCAACGTTAACTCAACCTCACTATCATCAATATTATCAGTATAATTAAATAATATCAATAAATCATTCTTATACATTACATCAACTGTAATTTACTATTCATCAACTCGCATAATTTTGACTAATCATCACTGCACATCAACTATTTTCCACTTTTACATAAAACTAGTTATTTTATTTTCATTATTATTTTAATATAAAATCAAAATCTCGCTGACAACTATACCACATTTTTTTTTTAAATTTAACCCAACCAAACCAAAAATCCAATCAAAATAAAAGATCCTATAACGACATGAAAGTTATATGGTCTATTCATAACTTTTTCTTATAAATATACATAAACCAACAAAAACGAACAATTCACGTAACTATCGAAAATAATTGATCTAACGGTTATAAACTCCAACAGTGTGAAAACAGTAAGAATTGTATTTGATATTATTTTTAATCGTCTATGATGTTATTTTAATATACATGGTGCTATATTTTCACATGTGCTAATATAAATTGTACTGTTATTTTTAATCAAATACATCCGGATTAAAAATAGCATTAAAATACAATCAGTAATAACACTACGTGAAATAGTGGTTCTCATGGTTCTCACACTAGCATTTGATTCTCATTTGAACCACGTTATGTATATATGAAGTTTATATAAATTTATATATTATTTTGAAATTTAACTCTACCTTTTTCATGATCGGTCGACTTGGGAACTGATCAAGTCCAGACTGATAACTGACTATAATCATAACTCTTAGGACAGAAGTGACCAAGTCGATCCAAAAATTGAGCCAACTGGCCGGGTCTACAATTAGGTCGGCCTAAAGCAAAATGACTCTGATCCCGATGATTTGTCGATTCACCTAGTTGGGCCAACCAGACTGGCATGGAGTGAGTCGACCCAACAATTAAAATATTTTAAATTTTAAAAATTAAATTATTATATATCATGTTGTTTTATTACGAGATACAATATTATTAATATTTAAAATTATAAATTTATACGATGATCTAATGGTTATAAATTTCGATAGAATAGTTCCGTAACGAGACCGTAGCATTTCCTTATAATTTTATACAAAAAGATGAGAGAATATGAATAATTCTTGGTCCCAACTCCCACACCTAATTAAAAGTTGATTGTTGACGCTAGCTAGTTAATGATGTAGTACAAATCATTCAAGAAATGCAATACCAGTAGTACAACACAAGCCACCACCAATAAAGAGGCAGAATAAAAGATGAAAATTCCTTTTTATTAACACCACCTAATTCAATTTATTCAACTCTTTTTTTTCTGAAATTTCTTCAAGTTTCAATCAAACAACCAAATCTCTCACAAACAGTTCCCAATTACAGTTTCATACATATCATCATATAAAGAGAAGAGAAGAAGATGATGCACATGACATTTTACTGGGGCAGAAGGGTCACAATCCTCTTCGATTTCTGGCGAACCGATTCCTGGCCGACCTACTTTCTCTCTCTCCTCGCCTGCTTCCTCATCTCCGCCTTCTACCAGTACCTGGAGGACCGCCGCCTCCGCCTCAAGGCCTCCTCAGCGTCCAATTACGCCGCGCCTCCCTCCGCCGCCGCCCCCCTGCTCGGATCGAGGAAAGCGGGCGGGGATCGGGGTTGGAGCACGCGGCGGTTCGCGGTGGCGATCTGGTTCGGGGTGAACTCGGCGGTCGGATACATGCTGATGCTGGCGGTGATGTCGTTCAACGGCGGCGTTCTGATCGCGGTGGCGGCGGGGCTGGCTGCGGGGTACCTGATCTTCAGGGGCGAGGAGGATCTGACGGCGGTTGAGAATCCGTGCGCCTGTGCTTGATTTAGATCCGAATTGTTTGTTGTTCGATCTAATTTCTTTTTTTTTTTTTTTTTTCTTTTTCCTTCAAGAGTTGTGATGTATCAGTATATGATTAAATTATTATATGAATGATCTTTTTCTGATTTCTGAATTTGGAGCTATTTTTGTTTTTTTCTTCAGTTGAATTTTGTGATCATTGGATAAGATTTTGCTTGGCTTATTAACAGATAATTCAGTTTTATCTGACAGAAGAGAAAGATACTTTGATTGAGATTTTCTGTTGATATTTGTTGTGTATGTTGGTGGTGATTTTTGTATTACAAATAGAACATGCCTGCATTCTTTGATTTATAATGTTATGATGAAAATTGTTAACAGATTAACAGAACTCAACCTGACCACTGTATGTATTCTCTAATTGAACGAGAGTTCTATCATTCGTATGATACGGATGAAGTGTTGCATTTTATGCGTGTCGTTTCTCTCTTATTTGTAATGCTTTTGAACTACATCAACTTTTGAGATGCATCAAATAGACATAAATGAACAAGTTTTATCATGCTTATACGAATTGAGCACCAGAGCACAGCCGCACGAGGACAACAGGCCATCGCGACGCGCGAGCATCGTTTCCATGATGGTTCCCAGGTCTCGCGGCGCGAGAGGCGTCGCGCCGCGCGAACATCACGTCGAGACGCTCGTAACAACATAACAGAGACCAGCGATGTCTCAGGCACCGCGTCGCAAGGGGTGCTGTCGCGGCTACTCAGGGAGTCGTGTGGTTGTCACGCTGCGACGCCCGTGACGAGACGACAGAGACCAACAATGAAGAAGGCTCCGTTGCGCGAGGGCTGCGCGGATGCGGCGTGAACCTGGACGATGAGGCGCGGCAATTATGAGCTTGAGCAGTGTAGAGACATAAAATTTGTGTCCAATCAAATTGCGTCACGTGGAAATTAATTTATTAAAAATCAAGTTATATTTCCTATTTATAATTTAGGA